TCTTCCGAGGGTCCCGGGCAGGGGTCAGGCCTCGGAGAGCGTGCGACTGAAACGCTTAACCACCCCTTGGAGACGAGGGCTTGGCTGTCCGGGCCATGGCTGGGGTTATTCAAACAGAAGTTGTACAGTGAATCAATCACAGGCCAGCACCCTGAATAGGACGGCGTTTGGGGGTGATTGTGATGATAATGCGGGCGAGCAGCTGGGCTGGATGGTGCCGGGGGGCGGCAGAGAGAGCAGGATTCAGGCATCCGTTCCAGAGCCAATCCAGTGGAATCTGATCACAGCCCTGCTCGGAAAAAAAACCAGTTTAAAAACCCTCCGGAGGGAGGGAATTAAACAAATAAGGATGCTTTTTCTCTTTGAAATGCACCCCTGGAGTTTATCCAGCCAAGTTGGGCTCAGCTTTTAAGGTGGGACTTGGCTGCTAGCTGACCCCTCACTGCAAAACGGGACAGCGCTGTGGGAGTGAGAATGAACGACCTTTTGGGAGCAAACAGGGCCTTTTGCACACCCTGGTATCATTTTTTGGGGAGGTCCCTGGGGCTCGGGAGACTTCGAAATATAGAACCACTGACAACGAAGGCTGGAAGGGACCTCAGGGGGTCACATCAAGTCCAACTCCTGCTGCAAACAGGGCCAGTCCTAACTACATCATCCCAGCCAGGGCTTTGTCGAGGTTAAAACCTCCAAGGATGGAGACTCCACCACCTCTCTGGGGAGCCTGTTCCAGCACTTTACCACCCTCTTCTTGAGAAAGTTTTTATTAATATCCAACCTCAACTTTCCTTGCTGCAACTTGAGCCCATTGCTCCTTGTTCCATCTTCCGGCTCTGAAGCTCTAAGCCAGCAGTTCTCCATTTTTTTTTTATACTCAAGGTCCCCCCTTGTTAGGTGCCAAGCACCCCTCATTAATGCTCAACTCTTTGAGGGAACTGGACTTAATTAGTTTGGAGAAGAGAAGACTGAGGGGGATTGAATAGCAGCCTTCACCTCCCTGCAGGGGGGCTGCAGAGAGGATGGAGCTGGGCTGGTCTCAGTGGGGGCAGACGACAGGACAAGGAGCAATGGGCTCAAGCTGCCGCAAGGGAAGTTGAGGTTGGATGTTAGGAAAAACTCTCATGAGGAGGTGGGTAAAGCACTGGGACAGGTTACCCAAAGAGGTGGTGGAGTCTCCATCCTGGGAGGTTTTGAAGACCCGGGTAGACAAAGCCTTTACTGGCATGATGCAGCTGGGGCTGGTCCTGCTTGGAGCAGGGGGCTGGATTAGATGCGACTCCAGAGGTCCCGTCCAACCCTCATGTCCTATGATCCCATGAAGGGGCGATGGCTGGGGGTGGGGGGAAGTTAAACAACTTTCGCCCCAACCTGTTGGGCTTCAAAACCGAGGAGAAAGAGCTTGGCGAACTAGCTGTAGATTTGGAGAGAGCGAGCGAGCAAGAGAGAGGAAAGGAGGGGGGCGCAGGCTCTATTGTGCTCGACAATGAGCCACTGACTGAAGAATGGCTTTTAAATCGGGACATATGCCAGGCCGAAGGGAGCAGGTGAAAAGCGCCTGCAAGCCCCTGGCTGGAGCCCCACCCCCCAATACAGGCGCCCTCGGGGGTCCCATGAGCAGACAAAGCCCCCCCGATGGGCTCCGCTTCCCAGCCCTCAGGCCTTGGAGATGTATTAACGCCGACTTCCATCTGCCCTTCTGTTTTCAGGGGCGGGAACACACGTGGGGGATTGATGTGCTGAGCACATCGCAGTCCCTCTGATATAACCCCCCCTTCCTCCCCCCAGCCAGGTCTCCAAGAGCTGGCACCATGAAGCCAGAGGGTCTCGAAGGACGAGGGGACGCTCCCAGCCGAAGGCACGTCCCTTGCATGCACCTGCCGTGGCTGGAGGCAGCTCCTGGAATCGGGCGCTGCAGTCGCGGCGCTACAGGAGACAGCTGCAAGCCAGGGCCCTTCCAAACGGATTGAAGAGTGGGGGGGTCCGAAGGACCGATACGGGGAGGGTAGAGACAGAAACCTATGCACACCCCTCTGCCCCCAGGACCCACACTCCCTTCCCTGCTCCAGCGCCCCGCTGTTCCATTCCCGCCGGCAGCGGGAAAACTGACGGCCTTAGGGGTGGGCTGAGGGGCCTGGCACCACCCCCAGCACCGCATTACACCCCCTTCCAGCAATGCCTGGAGGACAAGCACGGTCAACCCCCCCCTCCCCTGAATCCCCGACACGAGCCCGGAGTGACCTCCCGGCCTGGACACGAGATGTATGCCCCCACCCCACACACACACAATGTGTCGCTGCATCTGCTCAGGGCAGCTGGTCCCACCGCGGCCCCTTTTTACCAGCGGGGATTGCAAAGCAGCTGGATATTCCTCCCACTTCTGTAGCCAGGGGGACTCAAGGAGACCCCTGCAGGCCTGGCCTGTTGCCACCGACTTCAGGGCTTCAACAAAGCGTTAACATATTGTCGGGCTTTCCCCGACTCACAAGCTTCTTGCCCAAAGCCGTGAGCCTGGGGAAGGACACCTGGAAGTGCAGATTTGAGACTTGAAAGGCTTTGGCCGGGCACAGAGAGTGCTATTCCCTGGCCGGGGTGGAGCAAGGGCTTGGAGATGTCCACAGCTGGGATGAGAAGCAGAAAGCAGACTCACGGCCGGGGAGAGAAGGGCCTGGGAGCAATTTCCTCGCGGAGCACTGAGGCTTGGCTGATGGTGGTCTCAGAGCCTCCCATGCAGTCACCCCCCACCCTGTGCCCGCTGCTCAGATACTCGTGCACTTCCAGCTGTTACAGAGCGGGAAAGAAGAACAAAGAGTCACTGATGCAACTTGAGCCCATTGCTCCTTCTGTCATCTGCCACCACTGAGAACAGCCCAGCTCCATCCTCTCTGGATCCACCTTGCAGGGAGCTGAAAGCTGCTACTAACACCCCCTGCCCGTCCTAAAGCCCGGTGCCCTTAGGGGCTGCCAGGCTACAGCGGGCCTCACCCATGTCCTGTGGACCCTCACGCTCCTTCCACGGTACAGCGCTGGCCCACATTTCAGTGGAGGACAGCGTGCAGATGTCCACTGAAATCGGGCCTCCAATGTTACGTGCCTCTGGTTTAGCTGGTCTATAAGGTGCCAATCTGCCCTGTCCCGCAAAGCCACACAAATCGGGCTCGCTAAAAAAAGCGCTCGTTAACCATTAAATAAAGATGCAATTAGCAGAGGTTCAAGGGGACGAAGAACTTCTTAAAAGGTCTGGGGATTGGGAATCACCCCACGGGGTCAGCAGAGATTCAGCAGTTGCTTGATTGACAGGTGTCACCCCCATCATGGCTGTCATTGCCCCCCACCTCCCTGGCCAAGCGCATGCCATGGATGTGTTTGCAGCTGGCTATAAAATGGGGTGATGGAAATGGGTGGGAATCAGTGAGCTGCTTTCCAGGCAGGAGGCCCCTGGCCCCTTCAGCTGCTGGCTCCTTAACAATTTGTCTGGGGTTAACGAGGACCTTAAACCGAAACAAATTAACGCGGGAACAGCAGGGCACAATGGCAGTGATGCCGCACCCCAAGGATTAGGCTCACAGGCAAGTTGGGCTGGAAGGGATCCTGCAAGGACGTCCAGTCCAGTCCAGTCCAGTCCCCACTGGACACAGGACCTTCCTCCTCCTCTCCAGCCTCAGTTTTCCTTGCTGCAGCTGTCCCCAATGGCCACGGAGAAAAGCCTGTCCTCACCCTCTCTGTGATCACTCCAAGGCTGGGATCAAATCCTCCCTTGGTCTCCTCTTCTCCACACTCTTCCAGCCCCAGGTCCCTCATCACTTGTGTCCCTCTCCGCTGGACTCTATCCAATGTGTCTACCTCCTCCTGGCAGTGTGGGGCCCTGAACTGGCCGCAGGGCTGGGAGAATCACTGCCCTGGATTTGCAAGGGACACTTCTGCAGGAGGCTGCTGCCTTCTTTTGCCATAAAAGCGCCGGGTTAGCTCATAGCAGGCTGGCCTTGGCAGTGTGTTGCCTACTCCGGGGTCCGTGGCCACGTGCCCGCTTTCGTTCCCTGCAGGGTCTGAGCGTCCACGTGGGCAGTTTCCCCAGAAGAGCTGGAGTGCCGGCTCCACCAACAGCATCGCTCTCCAGTGCCCAGTAGGTAAATCCCTCTCCTCCCTTCAAGCTCTCCTTGCTTAAACGGGGTTTTGCTTTTCCCTGGACTTCAGCTCCAGGCTCAGAAATCCCCTCCAGGCACCAGAGGCCACGGCACAAATCAGGGGATAATGCAATGCGCTGGTGGGGTCTTGTATAAAGGCTCCAGAGGGGTTTTCCTCCAGCCCCGCCACAGGTGGCCAGCTGTGAAGAGCAGTTTCCAGGCTGCCCGGCTCCAAGCTGGGGAGGGGATGGGGTGGGAACGCTTCCAAACAGCAGCTGCAACTGCCCGTGGAGGCTCCCAACCCGCCCGGCATCATAAACCCAGCGGGACGACCCCCTTCCTCTCTCCCAGACCCACGAGCAGGTGAGAAAAAAAATCAGCCCCAGGGAAGCAAACAAGTTTTGCCTCTGGGGGAGGGCAGCAGCTCGGCTCACAGCCTGGGCAATCCATCATCTCCAGTCCAGAGCTCCCAGCTGGAAGCCCCTGGCCAGGGGGAGTAGTGGGATCTAGCAGTTAGAGCAGCAGTTCTCAAGCTTTTGAGACTCACGGTTCCCCACGTTAGACTTGAGGCCCAGAAATACTGGCATGGGGAAATCATTTTGCCTTTCTTCAGCTTGCTCCTGTCCCAGGTTTCAGATGGAACTGAGGATTCATTCGCTAGTGCATTGGTAACAGTTGTTAATTAGCCTGGATTAGATGAGCCCGTGAGGTCTCTTCCAGTCCTGCCTTCTTATAAGCCCACGGTCCCTCCAATGCAACTTTCTTCTAGGCAACTTGCAGCTTCTTCCATGAAACTTTGGGCGTGCTGTGCCCAGATACTTGGAGCTGTGAAGTCGTGGCACGCTAATAACCCAGCCTGATTCTCCACACAGACGCTGGCAGAGATCTCTGCTTTCAAAGCGGAGCCAAGGACCTCAAGCCGAGACATCTGGCGCCTGCCAGAGATGGTGCAGAGCATCTAAAGAATAGCAAACTCCCCTCTCCAAGTGATTTCTCAGGCAGGCGGGCCCGAAGTGGGCTGGAGGAAAAGCCGGTGAGTATTATGGCAGTAACCCATCACGAACCCAGCCCGGGAGAGGAGACGGCACCAATGTTTGGGAGAGAGGGGAAGAGAGCGAGACTGGAAAACAAGCAGTGGTGTTTCTACTGCTCGGTGTTTTGGACTGAATCAGCTTTGCTGGGCTACGACTCTTCGCGGCCAGTTCTGCTCCTGAAATGGGGACTACGACTCTTCGCGGCCAGTTCTGCTCCTGACCTGGGGCCCTCCTGCTTCCACTGAGGACAAACCAAAGCTGCCAGGCCCAGAACCAGTCGGGGGGCCTAGGTTCCCACCTATTCTTTCAGCTCTAAGGTCAAAGGGATTTGGGCGCCTCAATGCTTTATGGGAGCAGGCAACCCCGACATCCTTCCCAAGGCACTGCTACATTACAGATGGGTCCGGCAAGGGTCTAAAGCCCAATCCCAGGGGAACGGAGCCTGTTCTCTGGGAAGATACCCAGCCTGGGGCTTCTGGGCTGTGCCCACACCCACTTGCACACGCAAGTGCCTGTGCATGGGTGTTTCCCCAGTCGGTCGCTCCCTGATCGGGAGCTGCTGGGGACAGGCAGGAGGCGCATCCCAGCTTGGAGGGCGAAGACCATCGCCCCGCTCACCTGTCACTCGTGTTCTCAAGCCAACACATATAGAAGCAACAAGCGCCGAGTCCCACCCCTTGCCCCCCATCACCACCCCCAAATTTATCAGCCAGGAAGAAACAGGCCAAACTCAACCTCTACTCACCGTTATCGAATTCGTCTGGAATCTGCAGGGAAAAGAGAGAGAGAGTGGGTTAGTCCAGGCCTGACGGCCTCCATGATATTCCCCAGCCTGGAGGGACAGCAGCAGGGTTGACCCCCCAGAGGTCACGTCCAGTCCGACCCCCATCATCACCCTGTCCAAACCAGCCCAGTACAACGACCATCCAGCTTGATGTGACGTCAGACAACACAGAGGGAAAGCAGACAGGGAAGTCACCACCCGTGGAATTACTGCATGCAATCACAGCGGAGGCCTGACCTGGAGGGAAATATTTGAACTAACCACCAGCCAAAATTACCCCCGTGACAATACAGCCGAGAGACACGGGAAAAGCAGAGCAGCATGGGAATGCCCTGGAAGAGCCGACGACTTCCACCACCGCTCCGCTGCATTCGTACAATGGGAAGGGCTGGGGAACAAGGAGGAGAGCGGGGTTCCCCGGGGACGGGAATTCACTGCCCAGCAGGAGCAGGTCCAGGGAGGTCTGGGCTCCCCCTGGTCGGCCCTACAATAGGGTCCCACTGATGATGTGGGTTTCAGGGGCCGGGAGGGAAGAACCAGGCGTTGATACGCGTGCCCTTTGGCTGCCCCCAGCTAGGCTGAAGGGCAGGGGACCATCTCCCGGTCTGTGCAAGCTCCAGTCACTGCTAGCCCCAGACCCCTCTTGCTTGGGAAGCTAGGGCAAGGTTTAGGAACAGACAGTCACCGACCTGTCACGATGGAAGGATTAGGGCTGGGCTGGGCTGGGAGTTCAGCCCCTACCCCCCCGCCCCCACTCTCCTGGTCCAGCTACAGCAATGCATGCCATGCCCCTCTTACAGAGGAAGGCAATCCTCCCCCGCGCCCGCCCCCAAGTCTGTGTCAAGCTGGACAATTCCTTCCTGCCCCCAATGCAACATCGGTCTGAGCCCGAGCGCAGGAGAAAGACCCTCCAGCCAGGACCCTGCAGGGTTGATCCCACCAGAAGCATTGGCACAGCCCAGTGCCCATCCCCAGCCTGGGCTGCAGCAGCACCCAGCGCCTCTGGGGGGATTAAAAAACCCGGCACATGTAGCTGCAAAGGGTGTGGGGCAACCAGCAAAGCCCAGAAGCCTGGGAAATCCCCAAAGCAGAGCACAGGCATCGCCACGCCAAGATCATCCCGCACCAGTGATCATGCCCCATCCTCCTGGTAGGGCAAAGGGAGCGGGAGAAACGAGGGGAGTTGAGACAAGCCAGCTGCACAACCCATATGCTCCCACGATGTCCCGTGGCTGCCTGGTGGGACCTCATCAGCCTTCAGACACCTTTACAGCAAGGGGTTTGTTTGCCCGCAAGCTGGGAGGGGGCCCGGGGCCCAGACAAGCGCGAGGCGGTATGATGGCACCATCTAGGGAGAGGCACTGGCGAGGCAAGAGAAAAGCCAGGCGCAAATACCAGGAGCCTGCCTCAGAGCAGGGAGGAGAGCCAGGTTTTCCAGCAATGATTCTTAGCCGGGGAGGGGGAGATGCAGCACCCTGGGGTGCCTTGAGACCCTTTCATGGTCAGCACTGCAAGGTGCGCACAGATCAGTCGCAAGCTAAACCTAGAGATTTGCGACAGGAATCCACACCGTTCTGCCCTACTAGGGTCTTGCCCAGCTCTTTGCAACAGATAAATCACATTATTAGTTGTCCTGTAGTAAAAACAAAACAAAACAGTGGAAATAGAGCTGACTGTTTCCAAAAGTGCACCGTGGGTCTACAAAGGTCAAGAACCGCTGGTTTCCAGAGAGCCCCACGTTAGTCTGGGGAGATGCAGCCTCTAGCAGGAAAAGGATAGAGCTGGGGAGACCCAAGCTACCCGCTAAGCATGCAAGGGTCCTGGTAGGCCAAGACGGGTCAGCTGCAGGAAGTAAGCCCCTTCCCAACTTCCAGCACACTAGAACCTGGCATTAAGAGCAGTCTCTGGAAGACACTGAGGAGGTGGCAGGGGACTACATCTGCCCTAGATCCTAGCTGGGTGCAAGCCCTGCTATCAGCACTGGCTGGGGGGGACCATGCAGGACCCTTTCTGGCTCTGTCTGGCCTGTCGATACCTGTCCACCTGAGATGCTGCTGGAGAGGCAGCTCCCGCAAGGCTGGGGACCCAGGGGAAATCCTCAAACAGAGCAACTCCGTTCTTGGGAGACAGCGGAGGGAGAGCGCAACAGGCCCAGGATGACTCTCCAGAGAAGGACAAGAGAAGCCAAAGCAAGTTCCTCCCAACCAGATGCTGGTTTACTGGGATACCACCAGCAGACAATACACAGACATCCTCACTAGTGGGTGGGAGGTCTTAGGCCCCTCTGAATTCATCCTCATGGGGCAAGACAAGTTCCAGACCCAGCCCCTCTTGTCTTGGTGTGAAGGAGTTTTATACAGTTCCGGTCCCAAGGTCTGTATTCCTGCCCGTGTCTCTGAGAGAACGATCTCTTGGCCAAGAGAGCAGGGAAACTGAGTCACAACCTGCACCCCTTGTTCTTTCCTGGGGTCACCTAATTAGGCTTGCACATGATCCATGGCCTCTGCATCTCCGCTCTTTTGAAACTGCACCTCGCCATCTGCCTTCTCTCACGTGCTGATGGTTGGGATCCAGACTGAGCCGGTGGGAGCAAAGGATCTGGGAGGAGACGTGTTGTGCTGGGGATGTACGACAAGGGGCGAGGGGTGTTCAGGACTCCCCAACAACCCTGAACAACTCTGGGCATTCAAGGGAATGAGGCGACTCCTCTGAACGCCTGTGGAGCGCTGAGGAAAACCTGAGAGTAGTTAACTATCACTCCTTTACTTTCCCACGTCTCAGTGCATCGAGCCCATGGCAGATCTCCCCAGCTGGGTCCACCTTACCCTTAAGAAACATCCTCTGCTGCCTTTCACAACATTGACTGCTG